CACAAGCACAGTTTCACAAGTCTTTGCTGTAAGGTCACAGAATGCATACAAGAAGACTACAATCTGACTTTCCAAGGGAAGGTTCTTTCCATTGTTGTCATGGCAACACAAATATACTGACTCCTTTGGTGATGCCATTTCTTCTTAATATCAAGGGTTTGTTCACACAGAAATCTAGAAACCTAATTCTGTTGATATACAGGAAGAGAGATATCAATAAAAACTGAGCTAATAATTAGTTTCCTTCATTGTGTTTTTGGCATTGGTTATTCGCATCTTGTCTTTTAATATAATATTCTTGTACATTGTGACACATACTATAGTCTCTGCATGCAAGCAGATTCTTCAATCGGATAGCCTTTCAGTATTGAGTCAATAATTTGGCTTGTACGTGCAGGTCAACAGTTTGTGGAAACGAAAAACATCGAAGTGATCTTTATTCTGCATTCGGGTGTATTTAAATTCAATCAGTTGGCTGTCTCTGAAATGATAATAGAATGTACAAAGGTATCCTAAAAATAATAGCACCTCTTAGTCTGGGGATATGAATCAATAACATCAAATAACACTTGCTGGAAAGGTGATTGTGACTAATACAATTCTTCTTTGTTTTACTGCATAGAATAATGTAAATAATCTTTTTCTGTTTTTTTTTTTTAATTTTTTTATTTCCAAGCAGATTTTATTTCTTCCAATGTACTATGTAGAACGCCCCTCCCCAAAGCTAAAGTCCACTGACAAAAGAGTGCTTCACGAATTATCAACATGTGTGAATAGTTGCAAGATAATTATAAATGGCCATAGTACTTGTATTTAAACTTAGAAGCATATACGACACATCGTGAAGTAAAAAAGAACCCCTTGTTATAACCGAGAACCTCAGCCCTTGAACATACTTTGGAATGCCAATTCAACATATTAGTTTGTAAAGATTCGTATATACTCACGATGAATCGCGCCAAATAAACACGCTCACACATGTCCAAACGCGGAAGTGAACAAGCCCGGGGAACTAGTTGAGTCAGGTTTCCCGTAAGACAGAAAATGATTGGTTGAAATATTGGAGCATCTTTTTTCAGCCAATCACATGCGTTGTTTTATAAGTTACAGCACATAGTTACTGCGCAAGCGTGAAATATTCAAACACCCTAACATCGCAGAGTTTCTTGGCTGGGTTTGTTGACGTCCAAATTCGTGTTCACTCGCGGTTGAAAATATGGCGAGGAGAGATCTTTCGATGACATTTAGTGAAATGAGCTCAGATGATATAAGTACGTCTCTGGTAACTGATGACATCTCAGCCGATGAAAGCGAATTTGACCGGAAGAAGCGTTCTAAAGTGACCAAGCAGTTGATCGAACGCAAGCAACTTCTTCATGATTTGCAGCTGCTAAAAATCGAACTATCGCAAAAAAATCTGACGATCGACAATCTAAATGCCGAGAGCAGTAGCAAGATAGACGAATTGGAAGAAAAGCTTGCAGATGCAATTCGCGAGAAACAGCTGCTGAGAGCGAAACTCGAATCCCAGTTGAAGCTACACGATGAAGACGCAAGGAGGCGGCAACAACATCTGCAGGGTGAAATTGAAGCAATCATGAAAAGACAACACCAACTAGAGAAAACAAACGCCGAACTCCAGCGAAAAGCAGGCGATATCAGACGAAGCATAAAAGATATCGACTTATCAGAAGATGAATATTACGAATTGAAAAATAAAAAAGACGACCAGATGACTTTAAAAGAATATGTTGCTGTGAGTACAATTATTTTAAACTAATATTTCAAATTAATAAATATATTATATTAAATTATTGGATCACAAACAATCAAACCAATTAGTTCAAGTATATTATTTTTGTTTACAGTTGACCTATCATGACACAGTAAATCCTCTTAAATTCCAAATTGAAGATTTAAAAGCTAAAAATAAAGTTTTGGAACAAGATATGAACCAATACAGAGATGATTACCAGAACACCAAGCAGGTATGTAGATATAAATATTTAATATATTTCTTTTATAAAATGGTTTAACCTGATGCATGGCACTGTGTGTCTGCTTTGCGTCTGTCAGAAAGACTGCAGGTTTGACTCCTGTGGTTGTCTGCCCACTGAGCAGTGAAAAAAAACCCATTGCATCCCACTGCGAAATTGTCTGTTTTATTTATTGAAATCATATGAGGTCATTATGAGAATACCGCAAAGATTGTATGCAGGCAGTACTGTGCATTGCAGTATTTGTGTGATTTTTTTTCATCTTGTAATAATAATATAATGAGAGATAAAAGTTTGAAATGGCAACAAAAAACATTTAACGCTGTGCGAAGGTTTACATCCATTGACGAAAGTCTATTTCCAGCATGTGCTGATAACATTTTTTCATCCATCAAATGTATACTACTGCAAATTATGCATAAATATTGTACATGTTGGGTACTGTAATGTCTGAGTGCAGATAATTTTATTAATAATAAGCATATTTTTGCATAACCAATAGATAAATATTTTCTTTATTAAATGAAATAGGATTATGAGCAAGAAAGGAAAATACGAAGTGATCTGGAAGTGAGGTGCCAAAGACTGACCTTGGAATTGGCAGATACCAAATCACAGATACAGCAAGATGATTATAGACGGGAAAACTATAGCCGAGTCAAAAGGTTGGTTGCGTTTCAATGTTATAGTAGTTTTAAAAATTGATAATCTAAAAGGTCTTTGTAAATTTTGCAAAATTTGTTGTGGCTCTCAGTACTACGATACGTAAAATTTGTTTATGATTTTTGCTGTTGCAAGGTTAACCAATTAGAAAATAACGCTTGATGTTAATTATGGCTGATGAATGTTCTTTAGTTAAATCTTTAACATACATGTATGCCTTGTTCTGAGCGTTGATACGTTGTCATTTACACAAGTTTATGTTCTACTAATAAATATTTGGTAGTACAAAGTATTTATTCCTTTTAAATTTATTAGTGAGCGAGATGATCTTGAACATGATTTCCTAGACGTGCAGAAGCAGTATAACTACACTGATGCTGCCTACAAAGCAGTTACAAAGGAACGTGATGATCTACTTAAAGACGTAAGTATTAAAACTGTAGAAAATAGTTGAAAGTACAAGGAAGACACAACTTTTATTCCTGTTTTGGAACTTTCTCCTTGTGTGTGTGTTTTTTTTTATGGTTGATGCGAGTGTCTAGCATGTAATTAAGTTGCATCTGTTGTAATAGTCTATTATCTATTAAATGCACTATTTATTTAGAACCTAATATGTGTAGCATAATGGTTAGCATGCCCAACATCAGAAAAATTATGGATTTGATTGGCGGACACAAAAAGATTGTGAGTTTGACTATCATGCTTGGCTGCACACAAAGCATACATTCACAAAAAGAGTACATTTTGTCCGCTTGCCAGGTCAACAGCATTTGTTATTTCGATGGGGTACATAAAGTAAAAAGTAAAAGATCCAGTTGTGGTTTCTACAGGACAGCTGGGCTCTCTCTGGAATTTGCTAGGTAATAGTAAATTTACTAATCAAGAAAAAAAAGTATTAGTAAACTTTGTCTGGAAACTGCGGAGCATTTTCCCGTGACCGAGCACAACGGGAAAGAGAAGGAGAGGGAGGTGTCCCCTCTGTCGTCCTCCGAAAACAAGAACAGCATGCTGAAAATGGTGCTTGCTGGTGCAATCTGAGCTCTAA